CAAGGCACACACAGCCAGGCATTTGCAGCAAGGCACACACAGCCAGGCATTTGCAGCAAGGCACACACAGCCAGGCATTTGCAGCAAGGCACACACAGACAGGCATTTGCAGCAAGGCACACACAGCCAGGCATTTGCAGCAAGGCACACACAGCCAGGCACATGCCGCACGGCACATGCTGAACAGCCCAGCACTCACCTGAGGTCGGAGGCGGCGTCAGAGGCGACCTTGGTGAGCTGCTCGACATTCTTCAGAAGGTCGCCCTCGCGCACGTCCTGCAGCATCGGCTCTATGTCCGTCATCAGCGCATTCACCTGAGACAGGCCAGGTGGGGGGGGAAGAGGGGGGGGGTTGGCGCATGGGAGTTTATGGTACACCTCAATGCCATCGACATTGCGTTAACCTTCAGAATAAGAAGATTAGTATTCACCATCTGGTGCTCGACAGAGTTGGAAATTTCGTGTTGATTACCAGGTTTTGTGACACAGATGGAAGCGCAACAGCAGCAGCAGCACATGATGGGCTAGCGAAAACAAGGATTGAAAAATGGAAGAGGGGGACGGTAGCACTCCATGAATAGCACCCCAACCAAGAGAAACTACTTGCCTTTTCCAGCAGCGGTCTTGCTTCTTCAGCCAGAGCAGCGAACTTATCCAGAGCAGCGAACATGGTCCCAACCCCCTCCTTGTCCACATCCTTCGCAATCTTCGTCCAATTCGCTATCAGCTCGTCCAGGCTCACGCCCTGTTGACCCTCTATCCGCTCCCTGTCGCACACAATCAACCCCTCCTCACTACACTTGGGATCCAACGGTCCCACTGTGGGTTCCGGCATGGGAGGCATGGGTGTGATGTCAATGAGGGTTTCGCTGATCAGGCCCGTCTGGTTGACTTCGATTAGCGAGTTTCGCGGAATGACGACGTTGGAATCGAGGATTTCCACGACAGCGTCGATTCGCTCCAGGCTCGGCCTGACCCCAACCACGCTCCCCACGTCCACGCCTCGGATCCGAACCGGAGTGCCGACCGTGATTCCGCAGGCTTGGGTGAATTCCATCACCGCTTTGTACCGCGTGGTGCTGGACCGTACTTGAACGCCCTTAATCCAGTTGATAGTCAGGCCGATTAAGAATAGTCCGGTCAGGAGAAACAACCCAACTCCTCCTTCCCATATGCTCTTTTTCCCGAAACCGAAATTTCCGAGCGGGCTGACGATGTACTCTTCCCAGATGGATGAAAAGAAATCAATCAGAGCTGAAAAAGGGTTCCCTTTGTTCGGCTCCGATGCAGGAGCGGAGGCAGCAGCAGCGCTCGCTGCAGTCACTGTTCGGCTTCGCGGTCGACCGGTTTCGATACTGTCACATTGGTGAAGAGGGAACGGAGGGCAATGCTCTTTTTGACGAGGAGACGAGAAGCCGCGGAAAGATGTATTGATGTCGCGTGACGGTAGCCATGATGCGGTTGCTCTGCTAATTGCTCGTTCTACATAAACGCCTGATAGCGTTGGCACGTTGCATCGCGCGAGAATGGCTGAGTTAGCCATTGTCTGATGGAATAAAGCCTGGTCAGCTCGACGGCAGTTTTAGGTTAGTCTTATTCCGACGAGAGGCGCATCGGCCAATCTCTTTTAAAACTCGGAAAGCTTGCAATGTCTTCCTCGTCGTTCTAAGAATCCTCGCAGAGGAGCGTTAGACCATGGCTAGGTGGCAAGCAAACCGAAAGTGGAACAAGAGGAAAGCTTGCCTGACGTCAGCTGGTAGCCATTCTCGAGAGTTGTTTGATCATTTACAAATGGATCAATAATGTGAGGGCAGGTGATCAAGTTAGTGTTTGAATGTTCACGCTGTGAGTAACGATTCAAAGCGGTAGAAAGAGGAAATCGCTTCAGAGTGCACGAGATCGTACTCAACCGCTTCCACTGAGCAGTAACCGAACTCCAATGACCTGTGCCATTTGTTTGGAGGAGTGGAGGTCGGTTGGTTGGGCAACAGCACCAAATGAGTGCTCGCCAAATGTTTTGGTCCAACACTCCAGCACAAAGGGAACTGCCTACTAGATGTGGAGGTTAGTAAGGGGCGGTTGCACACAAACGGAATTGTAGTTGGACGGAATTGTGTTTCTCCTGGCTGAACAGGCCTGTTTGGCTGGGATATATCTTCCCAAGTTAAACAACACAGAAGCCTTACGGCAGGCATTGCAGGTCAAAAAATATGCACAATTATCCTGACATGCACTTCTCACCCCAAAATTTTCCATTCTTGTTCCCATTCTTGAGGCCATGTAGGCTCTAGATCAAGACCGGCTTCATCATGTGATGGAAGAGCAAGTGCTCCTTCATTGTCGATTGTTGTAGCAGCAGTGCCGCCTTCATCATCCGTACCACTCACTGTCGTATCGGCAAATTGACTTCCTTGCCCAGAGGGACATGCTTCAAGGTCTGATAGGGTCACCGATGGGGCAGATGCACCAGTCACAGCCAGAGGCCAGGAAGAATGTTGCTCTGTGAATCCCAATGCATGTGCAGGAGGAAGTGCCAGAGCAGACATTTGACCACCTCCATGTGCATCTTGACCAGCAGCTTGAGCTGTTGAGGCAATTGGTAGCTGCGGCATGGAGACTGAATGGTGCAGTGTACCCACAGGAGCCGGCATGCTGGGCGCTGGAGAGCCCATGACAGTCCCATGGGAGGACATCGGGTTCCACATTGATGTTTGTTGATGACCGAATGCTGGCTGCATGCCAGAAGATGCTGCCACCATGCTGCCGCCAGCAGGAACACCAATGGGAATTGCTGAACCGGGTCCCGTGGATGGACGGTAGCCCATGCTTGTTGCAACATGGGCCCAAGAGCCTGGCGGGTAGGATGACACTTGAACTGGCGAAACCCCCATGGAATAAGGAGAGTGAGGCATTCCCATGGATGGAGGGCGAGGCTGGAGTGGAGATGCCCCTGTTGCCACAGGGACAGATCCAGGAGGGTATCCAGGAACCACCGGCCCAGAGGATATTGGAACCCCCACAGCAGTTGATCCAGGATGAAGAGAGTTGAGTGACATCGAGTGAGGTCGATGCATTGGTGGAGATGTACCAGGCGAGTAAGATGCGAACTGTGATGATCCGGCGATCATTGTGTGCATGCCTGAAGGTGAAGCAGTTGTCATGACCATTCGTGGCAGACATGATGCCTGAAGGAAAAAAAAAGAGGTCAGAAGTCATAGGAGGTAATACGCATCACAAAGTGCAGGACTTGAACCGTTTGATGCATTACTTGTTGGATGGGGGAGCCGCTGGTCATTGTTGTTGCAAGGCGCATGGCAGGATACATTGCACTTGATGTGGGATACCCAGCTGGAGCTCCGGACACAACCATGGTCGGATGTGATCCGTTGTACGATCCAGGTTGCATGTACATTGGACCGGTTCCACACACCGAAGGGTTTGCATGCAATGCTCCGTGATGGCTTGGGCCTTGAAACACCATGAAATCCGGAGGTAGTCGAGCTCCAGGCGGAAGCCCGGCCATCCTCTTCAAATACAGACGGTATTTCTGAAATACAGGAAATGTGGAATCGACGTTAACTCAGACGGTAATTCAAGATCAAGATCTGAATCAGAACAAAAATATAATGTGCACGAACCTGCAAATGACTCGCCACGTTCTCTCGGGTCATGCCTTCTACATTCATGAGCTTCAAGATCGTGGTGGGAACTGCATCTGCAGGAAGAGAAGGATCATTAGGTGGCTGAATAACGGAAATGGCGTCTTGCAAAAACGGGAGGCAATGCCATCAAAACTCACTCTTGACACCCAGATGGTTGACTGCACTCATGAAACGCGAGTGCAGCTCTGCTGTCCAGACAAGTCGTGGCTTCTTCGCCGTCCTGACACTGGTTCCTTCCATGTCGCCCTCTGAAGCTTCAACTCCTTCAGTCGGTTGATCCGTTCCGGCCGTCTCTTTCGTCCGGTTGCCCTTCGACTCTTCCTCAGGTCCGGCACTTCGTCCAGAAGCTTCCATGCGATTTGACGGTTCAGTATTTCCGGTGCTCGCAGCAGGTTCATCCTTGACCTTCGTATGCGGCTCTTCAACGCTCGGCTTATGCTCTCCTGGTTTCTCGTCGTGTGCGACAAGCTGGCTTCCATCAGGACACATCTCCGTCGACCGCTGGTCTGCATCGCTCCCTTCAACAGGGCTAGTTTGAGTTTCTGCCTTGTCACTCGACCTCGATATCACAGGTAGAAGCGCTTCATCGGCTGACCTCTTGCAGCTCAAGGTTTGCGGTTGAGTACTGCACATTCCCTCCAACCTGATGGCAGAAATCATGGATACGACGAGAACAAGAAACTTGGCTGCAGTCAGAAAGTGGTATGAAGAGAAGGGAGCGGCGATAAACGAGCAGCTCAACGCTGTAGCTCCCTTACCTGAATCCCAAACTGTCTCCAGTTTCCTATCTCACGCATTCTGGTGCAATTTGGCAGGTAATGGCCATGTCAAGGGCGCATTCGCACCCAATGACAGTTGTGAGTTCAATGAAAGTAGAGGACTCTGGTTCTAAGCAGCGGCGGTGGATGTTGACTGGGACAGCAGGAGAATTTTGTTCAGACTCCCTATCCACCAGAGGCCGCTGAGGTTGATGCTAACTGTGAGGAGTTGAAGATGGTCAGTGTGTATTGGAAGCGCAAAAGCGCAATGAACTGCTCGCTGAGCAGCGAGAGGCCAGGGAATGTGGCCTTGGACAAACTGACTCTCAGAACAAAAAACCGTCGAGTCAGATACTATCGAGGCTGGAGGAAAACCTATGATAGAAACCAGCGTGAGTAGCTGTCGCTGGCTAGGTGGAGAATGCTAGACGTAAGGAAAGGCACTGGTGCTCCAGGTCCCGAACCGCAGTTATTCGAGAGCCATGGAGCCCAGGCTGGGAGCTGAGGACAAGAGCCAGGCTCAGGAGAAGGGAGCCTGCCTGACCCTGGGCCTGGCAGAGGCTGGCCTGGCTAGCTCAGCTCAGGGAATCCCGAGAGAGCAAGGCTCAGCAGCACCAGCAGAACCCAGTGAGCAGCGCGAGGGCAGGCAGCACCAGGGAAAGGGGAAAACGGGCAAATGTGTCTCCCCCGGGAATTGGGCGTGCGTCGCTGCCTGGTCCGTGAGCTCCCTTGGGAATTGCTGTGCTAGCTGGCTGGGTGGGGGGTTCGAAGCGGGAATTGCAAATGGAAAGTGTTTTGGCGAAACTACCCCCGGCTGAAGCTCGTATCCCAAAGCGCAATCTTGGAAATATCCCGCGTGGCAGTACCTCATTCGACAACGAATTACACTCTGGTCGTGGCGAGGCACGTAGAGTGAAATGCCTATCCAAATCAACTCCAGTCTGTGGGAATCCGACACACGAACTGTTCATCTTATCTGATAAAGTGGCTCCCGTTTGACTTACTCGTATCACTCATGATTGGAAATGGTATTTTGAGATTGTCAACACATTTACTACATTTCATATATACAAGACCACCATTCCTCCCCCATTTTACAAAAAAATACAACAGTTCACAAGATTAACAACACACTTTACATTAATCGTAGATGTCTTGAACCGCGATTGTACTCTGTTGCCTGCATATTCAAGAATAGAAGATTTAGTAATCAGCACTTACAATCCTTTCAACCCATGTCAAACTCACCTTTCATTCTTTGAAATGCGGTAGTAGTGGTCAGCATGCTCCTTTCGCCCAATCATTTCCGCGAAATTCTCATCGTGAGTGATGACAATCAACTGAAAGTTCTCCTGGCTTCTTCTCTCTTCCATTAGTCTGCACGTAAGCACAAACAAGAAAAGAGCACGATCAAAACGAGACGAGATGACCAGAGCAAACAAATTCGAGGTGAACACAATCAAGAGGCAGCAAGTCAGTGAGCTGACCTGTTTAAGGCCCTTGCAAGGCTCTCAGCATTGGGAGCGTCAAGGTTGGTGGTCGGCTCATCCAAAGCGAGAATGCCGCAGTTGAGGCAAAAGGTCTCCGCCAGTGCAAGGCGGATGATGAGAGATGCCAGCACCTGAGAGCCATGGAAAGCACAAACCACAGAATGCACGAACATGAGGAATGGTGAACGACCATGAGGGACGGCAGGCATCACGAGGATATGATTGGTTGGTTGGTGGATTTAGAAATGCAAAAAATGACAAGCTTGGAGGAAAGGGTGACAGCAGCAATGGAGACACTCTTTGTGTATTGGAAATGGAGAATATCCATGAGAACTCTACCTTTTGGCCAGCACTGCATCGTCCACGCATGTCCAGCTCAGCATCACCACTACGCATCACCACCTGCCAGGCAGCACCACAGACACACACACACACACACACACACACACACACACACACACACACACACACACACACACACACACACACACGTTACTCCCAAACTCCTCCAGCCAACCCCATTCCCCCACACACGGACACAATCGACAGCATCTAGTGAGTTCACTGACCACCAGCATGAACATACCAAGAGCTACACATGCAGCCTTTCATGCATAACGCTGCCGAACATGCTGTTGCTGGCACACTTCTGACGCGCCTCAAAATGCATGCCGTGGGTGGCACACACCCTGTAGCAAACAATCTATGTCAACCCCATATCCCGCAAGAATAAGTCATGAACTTTGCTCACCCGGTAGGAGTATGAGCGTGTCCCCGCTCCTTCCGCATCGGAGCGAATCTCAACGTAGTCAATGTCCTGGCCTCGGTACGTCTGCTGCCACAGCTCCTTGATGATCTTGTTGATCTCCTCCATCTTCATCGCATGGAACCGCATCAGAGCCCTGCAAATGTCACAAGGCGGGCAGACATACAGACAGACATACAGAAACCGCATCTCCATAAGGTCCTCAATGCCCCGAAAGACTCCAATTCTTGGAAACAATGCCATAATGCCATATTATCCTGGAGAATACAGTGTTCCTATATCCCCATTCTGAGTCACAAGGTTCTCACCTGCCACAGCAGAGGATCATGCACGGCAGAGGATTCCGGGAAGATGCATACTGGGGTATGCCTATGCGGGTGGTGTAAGAAAGAAGATGCTCAAAAGGGCCGAGATGGCCTTTGAGTCGACCAAACATGGAAAGCTGCAAGATACAGGCTTGTTACTTACTTGTCCAGAGCATTATAGTATTTATCAATGTCCCGGTTTGCCATCTCTGATGTCTGCAAAAGTGCAGGATATTATCAGACAACAGCCAGTGGGGGAGAGGCAGGGAAGGATTATATATCCAGGCATATGGGTGAATAGGGAGGGCAATGAGAGGGACGAACGAGTCAGAAGTCACTTTGTGTCATCCCAACGCTTGCATTCTCAGTTTCAGCCAAACAAACTTGTTTATGGATATAAGTACACATACACATTGTTTCTCACGTTGAGCTGTATAAGCTGCTTCTTGTGCCTACTATCAATGTCCCGAAACAGGGGCGCCTTCACTGCTGCTTAGGAACAAACATGTTTGATATCGTCAGAAGTCTCACCTTGAGTTTGATGAGTTGCTTCTTCTGCCGACTCTCAATGTCTCTGAACTGAGGCGCCTTCTGCTCGTAATGGTACCAAATTTGTTTTGCTTCATACATATTTATTATTTTTTCTCACCTTGAGCTGGATGAGCTGCTTCTTGTGCCGGCTTTCAATGTCTCTGAACTGAGGCGCCCTCAGCTCTATCTCTGCGCGTCGGATGCTCGCCTCATGCGCTGCCACCTTACCCCGGCTGTGGTTTTGCTGCGAGGAAGAACGATATGGAGGAAAGAGAGAGGTGGGAGTGAGGGGAAAGAGGCGATACGTGGTGAGAGTGCTGGCCTCATGCGCTGCCACCTTCCCCCGGCTGTGGTTTTGCTGCGAGAAGGAAAGACGTGGGTGAGGCGAGAAAGGTGTGAGGAGCGGTGAGGAATGGTGCAAGTGAGGGGGGTGAGATGAATGAGGTTTGGACGCGCCAGATGCTGGCCTCATGCGCTGCCATCTTGCCCCGCCTGTGGTTTTGCTGCGAGGGGGAGAGACGTGGCGGAAAGACAGAGCGCGGCGAGTGAGATGAGAGGAGAGTGAGATGAGAGAGGCGAGTCAAGTGAGACGTGGTGAGAGTGCTCGCCTCATGCGCTGCCACCTTGTTCCAGCTGTGATTTTGCTGCAAAAAGGAGAGACGCGGAGATGGAGAGACGTGGGTGAGGTGAGAGAGGTGTGAGAGCAGTGAGAAATGGTGCACGTGAGGAAAGCAAGGTGACTGAGATGAGTGCGGTGAGAAGCGGTGAGAAATGGTGAGAGTGACGGGAGTGAGGTGAAAGGCACTGAGAGTGATGGGGAAGCAGTAAAGTTCAGGAGCTTCTTACCTCAGCAGCAAGCCCATCGATCTCCTCCCTCACCGCCCTCACCTCCTCCTCCAACTCCCCCACCCTCCCCACTCGCCCCATCTCCTCCCTCAGCCTCTCCACCTCTCGCCTCACCCCCTCCTCCTCCCTCTCCATGCCCCGAAACACCAGAATCGCCTCCACATTGCGCTTCACAGCATCCTGGTTGCGCAGCATCTCCCTCTCCTCCACCTCCTTCGCGCTCTCCTGCTCCAGGCGCTGCTCGTTGCTCGCCTGCCGCACCTGCGACTGCTGCAGCCGCTTCGATGCTTCCACCAGACGTTGCTCCTTGTTCGAGGCGATGTAGCTGGTGAGGGAAGGGGGGATGGGAAGGGGAGGGAAGGGGAGAGGAGCGGAGGAAGGGAGGGGAGGGGAGCGGAGGAGGCGAGGGGACAGAGGGAGGGAGAAGAGGGGACCTTTGAAAAGCCTCAAGAGAGACCCGACAGCATTCCGGTTGCGCAGCATCTCCCTCTCCTCCACCTGCTTTGCGCTCAGCTGCTGAATCTGCTGCTCGTTGCTCGCCTGCCGCGCCTGCGACTGCTGCAGCCTTTTGGATGCTTCTGCTAGCCGCTGCTCCTTTTTTTAGGCAATGTAGCTGGTGGGGTGAGGAGAGGGGTGAGGAGAGAAGAGGGGACCTTTAAAGACTGACTCTCCATGCCTCGGAACACCAGAATCGCCTCCACATTGCGCTTCACAACATCCTGGTTACGCAGCATCTCCCTCTCCTCCACCTCCTTCGCGCTCTCCTGCTCCAGGCGCTGCTCGTTGCTCGCCTGCCGCACCTGCGACTGCTGCAGCCTCTTTGATGCTTCCGCCAGCCGCTGCTCCTTTTTTGAGGAGCAGGAAGCTTTTATAAAGCTTTTATACTTCACTCGAATACAGGAGAGAAGAGAGGAAAGAGGAGAAGGGATGGGAGGGGATGAGAGGAAATGGGACGGGAGGGGAGGGGATGGGAAGGGAAGGGAGGAAGGAGAGAATTCCCCAAGTTCCCAAGAGGGAACCTTATTGTTGGAGGCAACATAGCTGGTGGGGTGAGGGGCGAGGAGACGAAACGGGGAGAGATGGATTAGCAGCCTGCTACCCTGCCCCTGTAACCATGCCCCATGGCATAATGACCCTGTAACCTTATCTCTACCATTATACCATATAGAACAGTACCCTCTAGCACGCCTTTCACCACACTCACTCGTTGATCTCGCAAAGATCCCTCTCATCCCATCCATGCCCTTCAAAAAACGACTATAACCATCCCTTCCCTGGGACCATACCCAAGCGCATGCCTGCACCACACTCACTCGTTGATCTTCACGAATATCCCTCTTAACCCATCCAAGTCCCTCTCTCCATGCCCCTCACTCGCCCCTCCACCCATGCCCCCTTATGAGGTGCCCTCAAAGGCTGTCCCCTGATTTAAAACGCCTCAACACTCACTCCTCGATCTTCTTGAATATCGCTCTCGTCCCATCCAAATCTCTCTCCATGCCCCTCACCCGCCCCTGCATCTCCGCCTCCTCCGCCCCTGCCTTCTCCCGCCACACCCTCCGCCCCTCCACCGCCTCCCCATGCTTCTTCCTCAGTGGACCCATGCTGCGCTCAAGTGCCTGGTAATGGCAGGGGAGGGGGAAGGCAGGTGAGGCAAGTACGGGAGATGATTGGCAAGGGAGGGGGACAAAGGAACTAGTAATCAGCAAATGAATCGGGTAACACCGCTCTCTCATTCTCCCGCCACACCTTCCGCCCCTCCACCGCCGCCCCATGCTTGTGCTCCTCAGAAGCCCCATGCTGCGCTTCCCCTTCCCCACGGAGTCAGTAGACATGTTAAAGCAGCGCTCACCTGTATCTCCAGCTTGCTCCCCTCAATCGCCACCTCCAGCTGCCCCACCTCCTCCTCCATCTCCCTCCGCCGCGCCACTCTCAGAGCCATCTGCGTCCTCTCCTCCCGCGCCCCCCGCCACCTGTTGCTGGCCGCTGCTGCCTCGTCCTTCAGTGCTGCATGCTCCTCCCTTAGCCTCTCCACATCGCCTGCTGCTGCATCCCTGTGACACAACGCATAATGAGCACAGGACAACAGGACAACAGGACAACAGGACAACAGGACAACAGGACCACAGGACAACAGGACCACAGGACCACAGGACAACAGGACAACAGGACAACAGGACAACAGGACAACAGGACAACAGGACCACAGGACAACAGGACCACAGGACCACAGGACCACGGGATCAAGAGGGCGTATCAAGGGGAAGGGGTAAGGGCGCATGTTGGAAATCTAACTCTTTTCCACCCTACCTTTCGCTACCTCACCATTTTGCCTCTGCAGCCGCTGCATCAGCTAGCTCACCTCTCCTCCTTTGCAGCACAGCCCAGCCGACTCACCTCTTCTCTTCAGCAGCAGCTAGGTCAGCATTGACATCAGCCAGGGAGCGCATGGCCTGGGAGAGCGTGTCAAGGCGGTACTCTAGCTCCTGCACCTCAGCCTCCCCGTTCTCCGCCTCCTTCCTCACCCTCTCCGCGTCCTTTACTATCCCCTCCACCCGCCCCGCTGCGTCCAACTTCGCCTTGGCCTCTGCCAGCAAGCACAGCAGCTGGAGAGGGAAGGGGAGAGGGAGGTAGGGGGTTTTGGAGGTGGGCAAGAGAAACATTGAGGGTGTGGCATCAGTGGGAGCATGATACAAGACACTGCTAAGAGGAAAAAGAGACATTGTCATGACAGGCCCTCTGTCTCCTCTATCACCAGGGAGCCACCGACTGCTAGTGGTTACTGTCACGCGCCCATGTGGCGGTGGGAGAGAGAGGAAAGGGAAGGAACTGAGGGAGGAACTGAGGGAGGAACTGAGGGAGGGAACTGAGGGAGGAACTGAGGGAGGGAACTGAGGGCGGGAACTGAGGGAGGGAACTGAGGGCGGGAACTGAGGGCGGGAACTGAGGGAGGGAACTGAGGGCGGGAACTGAGGGAGGGAACTGAGGGAGGGAACTGAGGGCGGGAACTGAGGGAGGGAACTGAGGGACGGAACTGAGGGAGGGAACTGAGGGAGGGAACTGAGGGAGGGAACTGAGGGAGGGAACTGAGGGAGGGAACTGAGGGAGGGAACTGAGGGAGGGAACTGAGGGAGGGAACTGAGGGCGGGAACTGAGGGAGGGAACTGAGGGAGGGAACTGAGGGAGGGAACTGAGGGAGGGAACTGAGGGAGGGAACTGAGGGAGGGAACTGAGGGAGGGAACTGAGGGAGGGAACTGAGGGAGGGAACTGAGGGAGGGAACTGAGGGAGGGAACTGAGGGAGGGAACTGAGGGAGGGAACTGAGGGAGGGAACTGAGGGAGGGAACTGAGGGAGGGAACTGAGGGAGGGAACTGAGGGAGGGAACTGAGGGAGGGAACTGAGGGAGGGAACTGAGGGAGGGAACTGAGGGAGGGAACTGAGGGAGGGAACTGATGGAGGGAACTGAGGGCGGGAACTGAGGGAGGGAACTGATGGAGGGAACTGAGGGCGGGAACTGAGGGAGGGAACTGAGGGCGGGAACTGAGGGCGGGAACTGAGGGAGGGAACTGAGGGAGGAGGGCAATGAGGGAGGAGGGAACTGAGGGAGGGAACTGACGGAGGGAACTGACGGAGGGAACTGAGGGCGGGAACTGAGGGAGGGAACTGAGGGAGGGAACTGAGGGAGGGAACTGAGGGAGGGAACTGAGGGAGGGAACTGAGGGAGGGAACTGAGGGAGGGAACTGAGGGAGGGAACTGAGGGAGGGAACTGAGGGAGGGAACTGAGGGAGGGAACTGAGGGAGGGAACTGAGGGAGGGAACTGAGGGAGGGAACTGAGGGAGGGAACTGAGGGAGGGAACTGAGGGAGGGAACTGAGGGAGGGAACTGAGGGAGGGAACTGAGGGAGGGAACTGAGGGAGGGAACTGAGGGAGGGAACTGATGGAGGGAACTGAGGGCGGGAACTGAGGGCGGGAACTGAGGGCGGGAACTGAGGGAGGGAACTGAGGGAGGAGGGCAATGAGGGAGGAGGGAACTGAGGGAGGGAACTGACGGAGGGAACTGACGGAGGGAACTGAGGGCGGGAACTGAGGGAGGGAACTGAGGGAGGGAACTGAGGGAGGGAACTGAGGGAGGGAACTGAGGGAGGGAACTGAGGGAGGGAACTGAGGGAGGGAACTGAGGGCGAAAAGTGAGGGAGGGAACTGAGGGCGGGAACTGAGGGAGGGAACTGAGGGAGGAGGGAACTGAGGGAGGAGGGAACTGAGGGCGGGAACTGAGGGCGGGAACTGAGGGAGGGAACTGAGGGAGGGAACTGAGGGAGGGAACTGAGGGCGGGAACTGAGGGCGGGAACTGAGGGAGGAACTGAGGGAGGGAACTGAGGGAGGGAACTGAGGGAGGGAACTGAGGGAGGGAACTGAGGGAGGAACTGAGGGAGGGAACTGAGGGAGGGAACTGAGGGAGGGAACTGAGGGAGGGAACTGAGGGAGGGAACTGATGGAGGGAACTGAGGGCGGGAACTGAGGGAGGGAACTGAGGGCGGGAACTGAGGGCGGGAACTGAGGGAGGGAACTGAGGGAGGGAACTGAGGGCGGGAACTGAGGGAGGGAACTGAGGGAGGGAACTGAGGGAGGGAACTGAGGGAGGGAACTGAGGGAGGGAACTGAGGGAGGGAACTGAGGGAGGGAACTGAGGGCGAAAAGTGAGGGAGGGAACTGAGGGAGGGAACTGAGGGCGGGAACTGAGGGAGGGAACTGAGGGAGGGAACTGAGGGAGGGAACTGAGGGAGGGAACTGAGGGAGGGAACTGAGGGAGGGAACTGAGGGAGGGAACTGAGGGAGGGAACTGAGGGAGGGAACTGAGGGAGGGAACTGAGGGAGGGAACTGATGGAGGGAACTGAGGGCGGGAACTGAGGGAGGGAACTGAGGGCGGGAACTGAGGGCGGGAACTGAGGGAGGGAACTGAGGGAGGAACTGAGGGCGGGAACTGAGGGAGGGAACTGAGGGAGGGAACTGAGGGCGGGAACTGAGGGAGGGAACTGAGGGAGGGAACTGAGGGAGGGAACTGAGGGAGGGAACTGAGGGAGGGAACTGAGGGAGGGAACTGAGGGAGGGAACTGAGGGAGGGAACTGAGGGAGGGAACTGAGGGAGGGAACTGAGGGCGGGAACTGAGGGAGGGAACTGAGGGAGGGAACTGAGGGAGGGAACTGAGGGAGGGAACTGAGGGAGGGAACTGAGGGAGGGAACTGATGGAGGGAACTGAGGGCGGGAACTGAGGGAGGGAACTGAGGGCGGGAACTGAGGGCGGGAACTGAGGGAGGGAACTGAGGGAGGAGGGCAATGAGGGAGGAGGGAACTGAGGGAGGGAACTGACGGAGGGAACTGACGGAGGGAACTGAGGGCGGGAACTGAGGGAGGGAACTGAGGGAGGGAACTGAGGGAGGGAACTGAGGGAGGGAACTGAGGGAGGGAACTGAGGGAGGGAACTGAGGGAGGGAACTGAGGGCGAAAAGTGAGGGAGGGAACTGAGGGCGGGAACTGAGGGAGGGAACTGAGGGAGGAGGGAACTGAGGGAGGAGGGAACTGAGGGAGGGAACTGAGGGAGGGAACTGAGGGAGGGAACTGAGGGAGGGAACTGAGGGAGGGAACTGAGGGCGGGAACTGAGGGCGGGAACTGAGGGAACTGGGGGAGGGAACTGAGGGAGGGAACTGAGGGAGGGAACTGAGGGAGGGAACTGAGGGCGGGAACTGAGGGCGGGAACTGAGGGAGGGAACTGAGGGAGGGAACTGAGGGAGGGAATTGAGGGAGGGAACTGAGGGCGGGAACTGAGGGAGGGTACTGAGGGAGGGAACTGAGGGAGGAAACTGACGGAGGGAACGCACACCAAAAATCTCATAGGGACGGAAAGCAAACCGAATGCGACCAATGAGAAGGCGCAATGTTACTCACAGTCTCATGGTTCTCCTGGGCCTTGCTCTGAGCTTCTTCCACGTGGCCCACTACCACCCTGGCACGTGGCACCAGATCATCCACCAATTTCCTGTACTCGTTATAAACAGGAAGCAGGTCATCCAGAATCCCCAGCTGCTGCGCAAGCCCCTCCCGCTGCCGCTTATACTCCGCCTCCTTATTCCCAGTATCTCTGTTCATGGCCCTGATTTTCTTCACAAATTGTTCCTCCTCTGCTGGGGTAAAGCCTCTATCACACGTGGGGCAGCAGTGGTTGCGCTGAGCCCGTAGCTCAAACTGTGCCACAAACTGCTTCATTTTCACAAACGTCTCGTACGTCCTGGGAACAGGGGGAGGCAGACAGGTGTGCAAAGAGAATGTAGAGTGGTGTGGAAGGGTGTAACGGATGATCATGGAGTTTGGGAGGAGTGGGGTATTGCGATCTTGCTCCAAGCATCCAAGCACACACACAACCTCATACCAACCCATGCAACCATAACGATGCACCCACACACTCATGCATGCACTTACCCAATAACGTCCTTCAGCGCTGCTCTCTGCGAACCTCCTCCCTCTTTCCAAGTCATCCACAGCAAGAGATGAGTCCCAGTATCATCACCCATGCACCCCACAATGCAACCATGCACGCAAACACCCATGCACACACCCATGCACTCACACACCCATGCACGCACACACCCATGCACGCACCCATGCACTCACACACCCATGCACTCACACACCCATGCACGCACACACCCATGCACGCACCCATGCACTCACACACCCATGCACGCACACACCCATGCACGCACCCATGCACTCACACACCCATGCACGCACCCATGCACCCATGCACTCACACTCACGCACCCATGCACCCATGCACCCATGCACTCACCCGATAGCTTCCTCCAGCGCGGTTCTCTTCTCCCCTCGTACTCTGTCCAAATCGTCCACAGCGAGAGATGGGTCCACTGCCTTGCTCAGACGCGTCTGAATGAGGACTCGCTTGGCTGGAGGGAGTATGGGGAAGAGGGATGGGGAGCGATGGGAAGAGATGAGAAAAGATGGGTAGAGATGGGGAGGGATGCAGACACAACACAAGGCAATATGGATGTCCACAGCGAGAGATGGGTCCACTGCCTTGCTCAGACGCGTCTGGATCAGCACCCGCTTGGCTGGGGAGAGCATGGGGGGGATAGGAAGAGACGAGGAGGGAAAAGACGAGATGGGGAGGGAAGTGGAGGGATGGGGAATGTAGATGGGAAGGGGTGGTAGCGGAGAAGAAATATGAGTTCACAGCAGTGTTCTGGCGTGACTGGATTAGGGGTTACTTGATTGGAGAAGACAACGGGATGGATGGGAAGGGATGGAAAGGGATGGAAAGGGATGGGAAGGTATGGGAAGGGGTGAACATGACAAGGGGTCAAGAACAAGGAGTACTGTTGCACCGTCTCTCTCGTTGAGCTTGTTTCCTGATCGTCACCGCTGACGTTCCTACTGCTGCCGTTCCCAAGCTCACCCCACCACACCATGCTGCACCGCACTGAACCACTCACTATCCATCTCGTTGCTATACTTGTTGAGTTCGCTCCGTGCATGGTCCAGTCGCTGCTGCTGCACTGCTGCCTCGTTGCCTGCCTCCTTGGCTTTCACATCTGCCTCCTCATACACCACTCGCTGTGCCCTGCATGCACGCAGACATTTGAAGAGGTCGAAGGGGGGGGCGAGGGCGGAGGGCGGGGAGGGGAAGAGGGGGACGAAGAGAACATAGGGCAAAGGGAAGAGGGGGTCAAAGAGCGGGGAAGGGGGGGGGGGGTAATGGGGAGGCACCGGGGGAAGGGAGGTCAGACCCTCACTCACTCATTAGGTCTCCAGCACGCAAACAATACAGCATAAGCCTGAATCTCTACACTGCAGCGTAAACCCCTACTCCTTTCCTTGCGTAAGAAGTTGCTTTTCAAGAAGTCTCATTAGGTCTCCAGCACGCAAACTATACAGCATGAGACCGAATCCCTACACTGCAGCATGAACCCCTACCCCTCCCCTTGAGCCCAAAACCCTCCCCTTGCGCCCCGCACCTCTCCCCTTGTACCCCACACCCCTCCCCTTGTGCCCCACACCCCTCCCCTTGCGCCCCGCCCCTCCCCTTGCGCCCCACACCCCCTCCCTTTTCACCCCACGCACCTGATCGCCTTTTCAACCTCCCGAACCAGCTTGCTTGTGTCTGAAGGCATCTCTCCGCCCAACACCTCCTCTATCCGCCGCTTGTTCTCCGCCAGCCTGCATTCCAGACAATGGTTGGGAAGAAGAGACGTGGAGGAGGGGACAGGGGGTGGAGATTCGGGAAGCATGCGGGGTGGAGAGGGAGGAAGGGGGATGGGAAGGCGAAACGGAGTGAGGAACAGAACATTAGAGATCAAGAGAGAGGGAGAAGTGGGAGAAGGACATGTGAGAACAGAGAGAAGAACAAGTGCCAAACGAGAGCTACACAAAGCGAGTAAACGAGACTGGTAACACGAGAGGAACCACCCACGTGTCCTGGAACTCACAGCTTCTTCAGCTGAGCCTCCTTGTCCCTGACCGCCTCCTGCTTCAGCCTCAGCGTCACCCTCTCGCTGCTCTCCGCTGCAAGGCTGTCCTTCTCCCGCTGCAGGGCCTTGAGCCGCTGCTCCTGGCGGCTCAGGTCCGTTTTGGCATCCTCCAACTTGGAGAGCAGTGTCGGGTCGCGTAGCTTGGTTGCGAGTCTGTCCGCCTCTGCTTTCTGCACGGGATGAGACAAGTTTGGCAACACACGTGTTAAGATCGGGGATGAGGCTCTAAGTTAACGTGCGGCACAAGAAGGTGACGTTTGGCACTGCTGCTTCCCATCGCATCCTTCACCCGCTGCCGTCTCGCCTCGCTGTTCTTCTGCCCATGATTGAGGTGACTTTTGAGTGACTCAAATGTCACTTCTGAGACGAGTCAAAAAGAGGACTCACCGCCTTCTTCTCCTCTCGCTCCAGCCGTGCCATGCCGTCCTCGTCCACACTGCTTCTCTCCATCGCTTCCTTCACCTGCTGCCTCCTCGCCTCGCTGCTCCTCTGCCCATGGCACACACACACACCACAACCAGCAACCAGCACCCGTGTTAATTGTATTACAAAAAGCGCACAGAAGGCACAACCCATGACTCATGAGGCACACGAGATAGGACTGTAAACGAGAACCAGGGACTTCAAACACGTTGCAAAACTTCAAGACTAAACCCTATCCCTCTCTCAGACTCCCCTCTTCCCCACCTTTCTCTCCTGCGCCATCTGCAGCTGCCCCTCCGCCTTCACAATCTCCCCCCCAGCAGCCTCAATCTCCGCCCCCCGCCGCCGCTCCTCCTCCTGCTGCCCGCGCTTCATCTCGTCCCACTGCTCCTGCAGCTGTGTCAGCCTGCGAGCTGCGCGCGAGCCCAGCTGCACCGCCTGATTGCTCGCCAGGGGCACGGGGCCTATGTCTCCCAGGTCGTGCTTGCTAAACAGCTCCTGCAGGCACCTGTCGCGCTCGTTGCAGTCCCTCTCGTGCACCTAGGCGGGGAGGGAGGGGGGGAGATGTGGGCTTTGAAACGGTTTTTGAGACATCTCAGACCTTGGCCTGATCCTGGTCACTGGCCAGGGGCACGGGGCCTGTGTCACCCAGGTCATACCTGCTGAACAGCTGCTGCAGGCATTTGTCACGCTCATTCCAGTCCCTTTCATGCCCTGAGAGTGAGTGATGAACGGAAGACGGACAGGAAGGCAGCATACATCTCAGAAATCGATACAGCAAGCAAGCAAGCGCGCACCTCTTTCTCCACTTGCTTTTCCAGCTGACCGTCTGCTTGTCGCGCTCGCTGCTAGTGTAACGATTTTGGAGGTACAAGAAATGCACAACATGCAAGCAAGCAAGCAAGCGCGCACCTCTTTCTCCACTTGCTTGTCCAGCTGACCGTCTGCTTGTCGCTGCTAGTGAGACGATTTTGGAGGCGCCTCAAAAGAAGACACAGCAAGCACGGATATCTTTGTCCACTTGGGAAAAAAAACAACAAGCACAACACAGCCAGCAAGCAGGCGCGCACCTCTTTCTCCACTTGCAGGCGGCTGACCAGCTGCTTGTTGCTGCTAGTGAGACGAGTTTGGAGGTACAACAAATGCGCAACATGCAAGCACGCAGGCCAATGAGCAGGCGCGCACCTCTTTCTCCACTTGCAGCCGGCTGACCAGCTGCTTGTCTCGCTCGCTGCTCTCCCTCTCTGCCTCCTGCTGGATGCGCAGCTCACTCAGCTCCCGTGAGGTTTTCGCCAGGCTGCCCTCCAGCTTCGCCACCACGCCCTCAAACTCGCGCCGCCACTCCTCGAGTTTCTCATCCGACTCTGCTCGGGGACAGACGGGAGGTTCAGGTTGGGTTGACGCACGGGGGTTGGTTTGGGTCGACTCAGGAATCACCTCTCCACCGTCGCCACCACGCCCTCAAACTCCCGCTGCCACTCCTCCAGCTGCTCGTCCGAGTCTGCTCGGGGACAAAAGACATGCAGGTGAGGGCGTGAGGGCGTGGGGGTCCGAGGGCGTGGGGTGTGGGTCTGAGGGCGTGGGGGCACGAACACCCTGTTCCCATATGGCAAGTCATGTGACTCTAAGGATGACATACTATGTAAGTGTAGCTAGGTAGACTTAATGAGGGATCGTAGCATATCAAGAAATGGCCATTTACCATCATTGTCGGACATGATGTTGGCGCGCTGCTGCACCTTCTGCCGTGACAGCACTGAGCCAGTGAGCCTCAACACTGACAATGTCACCCGAATAACATAGATAACACACTGGTCATTTACCATCATTGTCTGACATGATGTTCGCGCGCTGCTGCACCTTCTGCCGTGACAGCAGCTCCAGCCGCCCCTCCTGTGTCTGCAAGTCCGCCTTCAGCTGTCTCAACCGAGCCAAACCGCTCTCCACCTCGCCCTGCCGCGCCCGCCGCTCCGCAATCTGCCCCTCCAGCCTCTCAATCTGCGCCACCAGGCGCTCTGACTGGCCCGAGTCTGCCTTTATGCCCTCCTGTAGCTGTTTACAGGGAATCAGGGGAGAGAGACAAACAAAACGAGTTTAGAGACGTCTCAAAGCTCTGACTGGCCTGAGTCTGCCTTGATGCCCTCCTGTAGCTGTTTGCAGGGAATGAGGAGAGAGATGGGAACGAAGAGACACCGGGTGAGATGTGGAAAGAGGCAGAGGATTGACGACAGAAGCGGACCTTTTGCTTTTCAAAGTGATGAATGAAAGGGACCCTCTGCTCCCTGCGTTGAAGAGGCCTTGAGTGTACTTCAAATAGCACGCACCCGCAAGGACGTGTCGAGAATGTTCCTGAGGTTCTCCGCCTTGAGCTTCATCTCCTTTATAAGCTGCGCCTGCTCCTTGTGTACCTTCTTCAGTGCCTCCAGCGCCTTAGTGTACCTGACACACAACACAAAAAGACATCATCAAACTACTTTTTGAGCAGGGCAAGCTCAGCAAGCACCTGCTTTGCTGCAAACCTGCTTTCGCAGGATGAATCACATCACCCAAGAACTTACTTAGTAGCGGAAAAGATGTCGTCAAACTTCTTCTTGAGCAGCGCGGGCTCAGCGAGGGGCCAGTTGGCGTCGTCCTGGTGCACGAATATGACGTTCTCAAGCACCGCCTTGGGCACGCCCATCAGCAGCGGGATCTCCCGATCCATGTCCGCACAGCGGTAGCTCAGCGACACACGCTGGGGGGAGGGGAAAGGGAAGGGGGGGAGTGCAGGGTGTGGCTTGCATGTGAGGTGGCTCACTAGCCCATCAGCAGCGGGATCTCCCGATCCATATCCGCACAGCGGTAGCTCAGAGAGACACGCTGATGAGGGAGGGGAGGGAGGGAGGGGAGGGGGAGCGCAGGGTGTGGCTTGCATGTGAGTTGGCTCACTGGCCCTTCAGCAATGGGATCTCCCAATCAATGTCTGCACACGCTATCAATGGCCTTGTACTCCATCTTGTTGGCCTCTTCGTGTTTTCACCACACGCAACAAGCAGCCTCCCTGCACAAATTCCTGCTGCTGCCGCATACGACCTCGCCCGTAGTACTGTTTACTGTCTGCAGCACGCTCTCAATGGCCTTGAACTCCATCTTGCTGGTCTTCTGGTGTTTTCACTGCACGCCATAAGCAGTCCCCTTGTACAAACCCCTGCTGCTGCTTCATACACACCTCGCCTGTGGTGCTGTTGATGGTCTGCAGCACGCTCTCAATGGCTTTGAACTCCATCTTGCTGGTCTTCTGTGTGAGCGAGAAGTTGCGCACGCTCACCACGTCCTTGCCTGCTGCCGTGCGGAACCGCAGCTTGATCTGCCCCTTGGTCTCCGTTATATGCGCCACCTGCCAGCAGCAGCACGGGAATACCTCAGACAGAAGTGTGAGGGGATGATAGCGTATGCTCGCCTTGCCACGTCCTTACCTCCTGCTATGCGGTGCTGCTGCTTGATATGCCCCTTGGTCTCTGTCGCATCACATGAGCTACCTGTCTGTCAGTGCAGCGCGAGAATACATAGACCTTCAGATGCACCATACTGACAGACCATTGCGGGTACCATGACTGACAGTTGTCTGACTGTTCCACGACTGCCAGATTTCTAAACGCACCATGACTGAAGCAACGCACCATGACTGACAAATGCCCACATTCACCATGAATATGGAGGTCCGAATGTCCCATGACTAAGAGTTGTCTGAATCCATGACTAAGAGATCTCTGAATCCATGGCTAAGAGATGTCTAAATGTACCATGGCTAACAGATGACTGAATGCACCATAACTGACAGGTGACCGAATGTAGCATACTGGGAGTCACTACAAGCATGAAACGACAATCACCTCCACTATTCTATAAGGCGTTCCTGATTAACCGTCCACTGCAGAACGACCGACCTTGGGGTCGTGGATGAAGGAGTGGCCAGATGAGATTTGAGGCGGCGCAAACCTTTTCCAGTCAAACCGTCCACTGCAGAACGACCGACCTTGGGGTCGTGGATGAAGGAGTGGCCAGAACGAGCGTTGGGCGGGAGCTCTCCCGTGGTCGCGCATTTCAAGCACTCTATAATGGTCTGCCATGATTTCGGAAACAAACAGATAGATTACGTGGAGAAATCGGATATTATACGATTGGAATGCAAAAAAAGGCTGAATTCAGGACAATGAAAGGGCGTGCGCCGAAAAACGAGCAGCGCGGTGAAGATCATTCAGCCTGAACATAAGTCAGAGGATTGACGAAGTCAAACGTGCGATTTCTGATCAGCCAATGATGAAAAAAACAACCCCCTTACGGTTTTTCCGGCTCCATTGGGGCCGACGATGAGCGTGAGCGGCTTGAAAAACGTGATTACTGCCTGATTCTCCGGGCTGAAGCTCCGGATACCCTTGATGAGCATCTTATCGACGGTGCACATGGCTGAAGATTCTGACGGCCTTCCGGCCAACTGCTTGCGAATGACAAAATTGTCTTGATTCAGCAACCTAGATGTACTGATTCACACCGTTGCATCAAAATTACAGGTCTAAAAGACAGACTAATCTGAAACGCGAGAATGCGGCAAGGTCATCCCAAAACCAAGGCCGAAGCATCCCTTTCTGGAGCAAGGTCCTCCCACGAGATCACGAAATCACGAATTCAGAGTGTGAAGCCTTGAGCAGAGAGACAAATTTCTAGGCATTGCATTGTAGATCATGGTACACTGAAACATTCTTAGGGCGTGTATATGGAGTCAAAACCCTACCTAAACGTATAGAGGTGTAAGGGCGTGGAACATCCTGGGGAAGTGCCTGCAATGTACTTTGACTTACAGCAACACAGCATTACGTATATCCACCGTTTTTAACCTCTCATGGGTTAGATTTAACCACCTGTAAAACTGGATTGAATGCAGATACATGAGTGGTCGGGAGTAATTGGGAGAGTTGGGCAGACTTGAGAGCCAAGTTTGGGACATACTCTATGTAGTGTGTATGTTATGGATGTGTGGTGATACGGTATTTATATTTATGGGGTAATGTGCATCATGCCAATTCAGATTTGTCAGACGAACAGTAAAGCATTTACCTTTATATAGTTATACATGTGGATGTTTGTTTTCTTTTCCTTTCCTATGTGAACGGTTTGGAATGTTTTCAGTATTAGTACATCCACGATCACCGAAACGCACCTCGCACTTGGGAGGAACAGAAGTCCCTGCTGACTCAACATGACGTGTCAACAAACAGCATCGCATTGCGGCGCGAGATTTACGTCGCACTGTCGCTCGCGGTCGCACGACTGACACCTTTGTTGTGCCTCAGCCCGTCATTCCCCAAGCAGCTCAGAAGCCAAGAGCAGGCGCCATTCAAAAGACCGACCAGATTTTCCCTTGCTCTCATTTATTGTTCTTCTTGTTGCTCTCGTTTCCTTTCTTGTTATTCGTGCGGAAAAGACCCTTCTGCTCTCACCAACACCGTTCCTAGACTTCAATTCGTAAATCCCCGTCGCACCCGTTGAGTCACGCACGGACGAGTAACCCATCGCCGCCCACTCGTAGAGTCACTCTGTACGACCAGCCTCCATTCCTTATTGAGCCACGCGCCGTATCATAGAGCACGCGGCGTGTCACGCGCCACGCGAATCCAGGCGGCAGCATGTGTCTGTCGGTGTGGGTGCTGGACGGCCATCCGCTCTACGCGCTGCTCCTCGCCTCCAACCGCGACGAGCTCCTCGCCAGGTTCGTCGCATCGTTCCCTCGCCACCCTCGCTCACCGTCGCTCACCGTCGCCTAATGGTTCACTCCCCTCCGCCGTCGCCCGGCCTCCGGCCTCACACTGGCTCCCCTCGCGAACAACCGTGTCTCACTCGCGTCCCCCCCTCCTCGTCTCCCCCCCTCACTTTCTTTCTATTCCCCCCTCCCCTCGCCGCCTCCCCCCTCCCCACCTCCCGCCAGGCCGACGGACCCCGCGCACTATTGGCGCGACGACCCCCGCGTGCTCGCGGGGCGCGACCTGCAGTGCGGGGGTACGTGGCTGGGCGCGAGCACAGGCGGGCGCGTCGCGTTCCTCTCCAACTGCTGGGCCGTCCGCAATCGACCCGACGCCATCAGCCGCGGCGCCCTCATCTCCGACTTCCTGCAGGGCGCGTGGCGCGCGGAAGGCTCGGAAGGCGCAGGGAGCGCGGAGGGAGTGGAGGGCGCAGGGGGTCCGCGGGAGTACCTAGAGTCCGTGGCGCGGCGCGCGCACCTGTTCAACGGGTTCAACCTCGTTGCTGCTGACGTGACATTCGACGAGAGCAGGCACAGCGCGGATGCGGCTGGGGCGGAAGAGCAGGAGCAGCAGCAGCAGCAGGAGCAGGGGCGCGGAAACGCTGAGGGGGGAGGCGCAGAGGGCGCATGCGGGGGGGAAGCCAGCAGGAGCCCCTCCGCGCATGTGCGCATGTACTACCTGACCAATGCCCCGCCACACGCTGGGGAAAGCGCAGGCAGTGGCGCAGATGGTGGTGGGGAGGAGAGGGATGGGGCGGAGGCATGTGGCGTGATGCGCGTGGAGCGAGGGCTGCATGGACTCAGCAATGCGGCTCTTGACACTCCCTGGAGCAAGGTGGGACCAGTGGGGGGGAGTGGGGGAATGTCAAGGGAGAGAGCAGAGCGATGGAGTCACAGCAGAGAGCAATGAATGAGGGTGAACGAATCTCTCACAACACATTTACTCTCATGCCCTGAAGCCCCTCCCCCCTCCCCTTCTTTCCCACACCCCCGTTTCCCAATCCAACCGCCTGGCCCCTCCTCTTCGGCTCGTAACACTCCCGCTTGGCAGGTGGAGCGAGCCAAGGAGCACCTAGCCGAGCTGCTGGAGGAGAGTAAAGGGGGCGAGGTGCCAGCGGAGGTGATTATAGAGTGAGTGCTCATGGACGCGTGGCAGCCTGTGCACCCTCACACCAGTGCTGACGTGGCCGAGGCAGAGCACTGCCCTATGGGGCCGGAGTACGATCAGAGGCTGACACCTGTCTTTGTCAACTGCGACACTCCCAAGGTACACGGCTGGCCATTCTAGCCATGCCGCCTCTGCAATTTGTCTCTCAGCTGTTCGAACCAGACCAACTCGTTTGTCAGGTTGTACCACATTATCTTTCACCAAATGGAATCAACTCCTGGCTGGTCTGTTCTATTTCTTATCCTTGCATTTCACCCTCATCGTTTCTCCCCCCTCATCTCTTTTACCCCTCTCATCCACACCAGGGGGCGTGTGGGACGCGCAGCTGCATAGTGGTGGCTGTGCACCGCTCTGGGCTGGTCGAGTTCACGGAGAAGTCCAGAAGCGCGGATGCGCCCAGTGAGTGGACCTGGAGGCGATTCAGTTTTCATATCAATAATGGAAGCACTGTTTCTTCATGTGATGGGAATGGCCAAAAGCCACAGTGAAATGGAGTGGTGAACACACTGGATTCCGAAGGCATCGAAGGGGCTTTGGTGTAAACATTGATTTGTGCAAGGATATGTAGGTGACTACTTGATTTGTTGAAGGGCATCGTGATTATGTGAGTTGTCTCCCCATATTTGCCTAGAATTGTATTTTACGACAAGATCAGCTTCAAGAAAGTGTGGCTTGACAAGGGAATGACTGAGTTTCAGGTAAAATGACAGACTGATAAATGTACAGGAAATACATTGTTGTTGTCGGATGCACCAAAACAGGGGACTATTGAGAACTCAACTTGTGAATATCACATGGCAATGAAGATTACTTGGTTCAGTACAGTGATACACCTCTTCTGGTCGCAGAGGATATCCTCAATAAAGTTTCCACCCACATCCACAGCAGTCGTTCCCCCTTCTATCAATCTCGAGATTATCCTACTCACATACCTTCTCCTTGTGAGCAGCTGCTGTCTCTACCTGGTTCTGATCTTCCCTTGATCTCCGCTTTTCACGCCGCTCGACGAGGCGACGTCGAGTCGATCCGTTACCGCGTGATTGCGGCTAATACCACTGAGAGCAGAGCGTTACTTAGCGAAGGGATCCCGCGAGGCTGAGCCGATCTTCTTGAGTTGTGAGGCTTCCGCGTTTTCCGTTCTCCGCTGGAAAGTATGATGTTGACGTGTCGTTTGTGAGCATTTTATCGCCAGTTGAGCTGTTGTGTTGTCAGGTGACTTGACTGCCGCCATGGGATTCCCTTCTTGCAGGCAAGGCGAGAGTGTTGAGCCGTCGCGTGAGGCGAGCGGAGAGGTGTGCGGAGAGGAGTCGCGACAGAGGCCGCGGAGGCGAGATAAGAGGAGTTGAGCGAAGCTTAGCTACGCTGAGCTGAGCTGAGAAGAGGAAGCGGAGTGAGACCAGGCGAGACGAGCGTATCTGAGTGCAGGGAGTCGCCAGATCGCGAGGTCTCAGCTGAGCCTCGCCGTGAGCGTTTATCTTCGTTGAAGAGGTTACATTTCGTGGCTCGTTAAGAAAGCGGACGTCGAAGATGGCCTCACAGGACACCGTGTCAAGAAAGCTCGTTGTGAGTCTCATCGGAAATGGGTCTGCGTTCGCGATCAGTCTGCGTTCCTTCTCTCTCTGCATTTCTCTCGCCCTGCGTTCCTGTTCGCTCTGCGTTCCTGGTCCGTGGCGGATCTGGTTAGGGTTCGGCTGACGCGTGGCGGGTGGGTGCGTGCAGGTGCTGGGCATCCCGTACAGCATGGACACGGAGGGCCTCCGCGAATACATGGAGAAGTTCGGCGCGCTCGATGACGTCATCGTTCTCAAGGTAGCATTTCGCAACCGCATTGTCATTCAGGTTTTTTTTTTTTTTTTTTTTTTTTTTTTTTTTTTTGGATAGTGTGCAATGTACGGGTCAGAAGTTGGTGTTCTGATATTCGGCTTTGCGATGGTGCAGGATCGGAGCACCGGGCGGTCTCGAGGGTTTGGCTATGTCACGTTTAGCCTGCTCGCAGACGCGCAGGTGAGCAGCACTCCCCTTGATGCCTGGCACTGTCATTGTGGGGTTCATAGAGACACCTTCGGTTCGGATAGACTGCATCGATCGCCGCTGGTCTAAATTCATCCGAACATTGCACTCTTTTCCGTCTTACCTCTGTTTCTGGAATCCTAATTTGCGTGGCATAGTGAATGTCGTTGCTGTTGCCATGGACTCTGTGTGCATCAGAGCGTGGCGCAGATGAAGCACACCCTGGGGGGCCGGCAGCTGGAAGTCAAGACAGCCACGCCCAAGGTCCGTCCGCAACCACCCCACCAACTCAGCCAAGCTACCAACTTATCATCCCACCTCCCGTTGCCATCGCCACTCACTTCCGCTCCGTCTTTGAAAGAATGGGCTCTGATGCGTGTGTGGGGTGTGTGCGGGCAGGAGGAGATGTCCAAGGGCCCCAAGGTGTCGTCCACACGCATATTCGTCGCGCGCGTGCCCACCACCGTCACGGAAGACAGATTCAAGAGGTAACGTGCTGCGCTGCTGTCCGCCAATGAACTAATCGTCGCCCTGCTCTCGCTTCTTCAGTGTGGAGTTCGTTGTTGGTTCTAAAACACGTGCGCCCCGTTGGTTCCGTGCCCTGCTTCTCTGCTCCTCTGCTCCTGTGCTGCTGCAGGTACTTCGGAGCGTTTGGCAATGTCACTGACTGCTACATGCCCAAGGTACGGTACGCCCCTCTCAAGCCTTTTCGCGGGCTCGCCGTGGCCCCGTTTCCAACTTGTCCCCATTGGACTTCTCCACCTTGGTCCATGCAAATCCATGCCCCATCTTCATTTTCCATGCTTCATGCTCCTTGCTCCATTCTCGGTGCTCTGTGCTCGCTCGGTGCTCACCCCCCTTTTCAGGGACACGGGTCCAATCCGCATCGCAACATTGGCTTTGTGACCTTTGACGACGCAGGTACCATTGCTCTCCCTGGATCACACAAATGCACACGAGTGCTCACGAATGGAGCAGTTGCATTGACATCCCGCTGCCGCTCACATTTGCAGAAGAATCACGGTGCTAATCTGTGTTTCATATTGGGCTGCCATGCCATGTGGTGCAGCGTCGGTGGACAAGGTGCTGGAAGAGCCAAGGGAGTTGGATGGAGCCACACTCGCCATCGACAGAGCCACGCCCAAGGTACCTCTCCTGGTAGACACACGCACCACCTTGCCACGCACCTCACTCAATCACCTCCCCGCACTCGCCTTTGTGCTGGTCCAGTGGCCTGCAGAGAGAAAGATTCAGAGAAAGATCCAGAGAAAGATCCAGAGAAAGATCCAGAGAAAGATTCAGCGCAGCCTGATCACAATGATCTCATTGCGCTGTTTGGTCTCCCATGCTTTCCTCTGCCCTCTCCTGCTCTCTCCTGCCCTCCCCTGCGCGCCTCCCAGGACGAGGGGTCAAGGGGTGGAGGTGGAGGGGGGTACCGCGGGTCCCCAGCGCGCCCCTTCCGAGCGTACCCCCCGGGGGCCATGGCGCTGCCCATGTCGCCCTTCGACTTCATGCCCCCCATGGCCGCCTTCGCCTCCGCCTACCCCGCCTACCCCCCCGCCATGCTCTATGGCGCGCCCAGGGACCCCGCCTATGGCGCGCCCCCCCCTGCTGCTCCGCAGGGGCATGGGGGGGCGGGCGGGCAGGGGTATGGGGGGGGAGGCGGGGGCAGGGCGGTGCATCCGACGAAGATATTTGTGGGGAAGCTGCCGCATGACGCCACTGTGGGGGACATCCGCGAGTACTTCGGGCGGTTTGGACCCGTGGAGGACGTCTACCTGCCCAAGGTACTGCCTTCCCATGGAATTGTGTGCTGTGCAATGTGTCAATGCTGTGCACATGGTGCACGCCAGGGCTGTGATGCACTGAGCTAAATGTGTCACTGTGGGGTGGTGCGCGGCATGCTGTGTGGCGCATGATGCATGGCGCATGGTGCATGGCGCATGGTGCATGGCGCATGGTGCATGGCGCATGGTGCATGGTGCATGGTGCATGGTGCATGGTGCATGGTGCATGGCGCATGGTGCATGGTGCATGGTGCATGGTGCATGGTGCATGGTGCATGGTGCATGGTGCATGGTGCATGGCAGGACTCGGCCAAGGGAGGCCACAGGGGGTTCTGCTTCGTGACGTTTTTGGAGGAGGAGGTGGCAGCCTTCGTTGCCAAGAGGCAGCATGAGATCTGCGGCCGCACTGTCAGTCCCTTCTCTGTCCCGTCCTTCCCCGAACCTCCCCACCACCCCACCGCCCCCTCGCCGCTTTCCTCTTCCTCCTTAATTTCGCTTTGTGCGTGTCTGCTCGTTTGCCAAGCATGCTCATTGTGATGTCTGATGTTAGAAAAGGAATTGTCCCTTTCAACACGTGTCTACGTTGCCCATTCTCCCATCCTCTACCTGCACCTGTCCCATGCTTCTCTCCTCTCATCCTCCTTCAACCTCTCCCTTCCACCTCTCCCTTCCCCCCCTCCTTTGCACCTCTTTTCTGCACCTCTCCCACCCACCTCTCGCCCCCCCCACCGCACACCTGTGCAACGGCAGGTGGCAGTGGAGAGGGCAACGCCACAAGAAGGCGGTCCCCCGCCAGCCCCCTCCTCCGCGGCCTACCTGCCCTCCGCCTACGCGCCAGCCCCCTCCGACCCCTCCCTGGGGGCCTCCTCAGGGCCCAGGAGCCCTGGGGCAGCAGCAGCGGCAGCAGCGGCAGCGCAGGGGTATTACATGGCAGCAGCGCAGCAGGCGTATGGGCAGGCGCCTGCTCCTGGTGCTGAGTACGGGCAAGCCGCGGTGAGTGTTTGCCTTTGGGGGTTGCCATGCTGTGTCTGCGCTGGTTGTCGTCTTGTGCCAGCACGGCATATTGCTAATTTGACAGAGAGGCTTGGTCGTGGTTTGATCAAGGTGCTTATTTTGTGTATGTATGGTGCCGCCTGGGCCCACTAATCTTCTCCTTCTGTGCCCTCTCCTGCATGGCATGGTGGCATGGTGACATGGTGGCATCATGGCATGGTGGCATGATGGACATGGTGGCATGATGGCATGGTGGCATGATGGCATGGTGACATGATGGCATGGTGGCATGATGGCATGGTGGCATGTGCTCACCCTCTACAGCAGTACAGTAGTGCAGCATATGGCGACCTGGCAGGCCCACCGGGAACCATGCCTGCTGACAGGGGTGCCTCCAGGGGTGACCTGCGCTACCGCCCCTACTAACCACTACTGCTAACCGCCGCTTCTCACCGCCTCTGCTGCTCACTGGCACTGCTACTCCTTGCTGAACCCCTCTGCTGCCCGCTGCTGACCGTCGCTGGTGCTTCTTGCTGCCTGTCCGAACACACTACTGACCCCATTTTGTTAGCTTCTTCTCTCTAGCTGTTGCGAGTTAGGCGTAGGCGGAGGGAAGATACCTCCGCCTCCACAGAGGCGAGTTGAGAGTGAGTGATGAGGTGAGAATGGGTGGTGACAGTGGGTGGAAAGAGTTAGTGAGTCGTGTATGGCGAGAGTGTTTTGGGAGAGTGAGTGAGTGGTGAGCATGAGGTATGAGATGTGAGTTGTGAGAGTGAATGGTGATTGTCAGTGGTTAAAGCGATTGGGGAGGGTGAGTGGTGAGAGTGACAAGTCAGTCTGAGTGATTGGGTGAGTGAGCAGTGAGTGTGGGGAGCATAGGGAGAGTATGGGGTGAGAGGCAGTGGTAAGGGTGAGTGGTCAGGGTCACCAATGAGATAGTCGCGAGTTTGAGAGAAGAGCGCGAGAATTCTCCAGAGCGCCCACTCGCTCCACACCAATAGAAGCCTTGGGAACGCCCAGGCCTTGGAAGCGCTTACTCGCTCCACATCAGGCCTTGTTGTCGGGTTCAGAATACATTCGTTAGTGTTGGACTTCAATAGGGAGAGGGGGAGTGAGCAGTGGGTGTGGGGAGCATAGGGAGAGTATGGGGTGAGAGGCAGTGGTAAGGGTGAGTGGTCAGGGTCACCAATGAGATAGTCGCGAGTTTGAGAGAAGAGCGCGAGTATTCTCCAGAGCGCCCACTCACTCCACACCAATGGCAGCCTTGGGAACGCCCAGGCCTTGGGAGCGCTTACTCGCTCCACATCAGGCCTTGTTGTCGGGTTCAGAATACATTCGTTAGTGTTGGACTTCAATAGGCTGTGATGGATTTGTTTTTGGAGGGGGTTCGGGTTGCTGCTGTGCCTGCATGAGAAGCTATGGGAAGATTTGGCTGTATGTGGTCAATTGCCTTCAGCTGCCAATATGTTAGAAGACCTGCACTGTGGATCTTCGATAGATCTTAGGGAAGGGTTAAAGGCACGCTTGTCTTTGGAGAATATTCGGTCTTCATAGCTGTCAATATGCAGCTGATATTCCATGAAATGTAGGGTCGAGAATGGTGCACCGATTATGTGATGTTTTTCCTTAACGTACTGAAAACTCAGGGCGCGCAAGTCCCTATTTGCATAAACCATTTGCAATCAAATCAATTTTGATGCTATGTTTTCCACCATTTCTATACCTTCAAAATTGAGTTGATTACTGGACTTTTGAAGGAATAATGTTGGTGTATAAATGTCGGTGTATTTTCTACGCAGCGAGTGGCCACCAAGAATCTGCTAATGTCGGCACGAAGCTACATCATCCGTTCGATTGCCCAGCCTTGGATCTCTCTTGGCTGCGTTCTGCAGGCGCATCAGCCCGCATCAATGCACATTGATGCGTTCTACCATGGTTCCAGGATTTTTCCATGATAATCTGCCGACAGGTTATCAAGGTTCTCGATAAGCGCATGGCTGCCGAAGCAAAACAAACCCGAATGCCTGCAGAACGACCTTTTTGGCTTACGAAATTTGTAATGTGTCCGCTTTCCAATAAAATTCCTCTCCTAGCAATCGGGCGCATCACTGATGCGCGCATCATGCGACTTCGAAAAATCGGATCATGCGCACATCAGCTGATGCGCTGCAACCTCATTGGCCAATCAGGTTGGCCAAACCGAAATTCAGCGACCAAGGAGCTTCCGAGAAACCTGTAACATTCGCAATTTTAAAATTTCGTCAGGAAAATGAATGTCCAACTTCCTGACCTCAATTCAATTTCGTCAGATTTTCCAAACCTCAATTCCAAATGTCCGAACCTCAATTTCTCAATTTCCAATTCGCAATTTCCGAACCTCAAATTCTCAATGTGCGGATCAGGCCGAGCCTCAGACGCATCAGAGCTGATGCGCCTGCAGAACGCAGCCCTTATCACGATGGCTTCCCATAAAACACCCCCAAATTCCGCTTCCCGCTGCCTAGCCGCTGGTTTAAAATCCCGAACCTCCAGGGAGGCATTGCGCAAACCGACCAAAAACCGCGGAACCTCTGCTATGGCACTGTTCTTTTGGCAAAAAATGGCCTTCCTGGATTCTTCCATCCGCACCAGTGGTGCGTCGGTTCAGGTTGGGCATTGTCCGAAGCTGGGCGCATCAAGAAAACCGAGAAACCCTGCAGAACAGCACTTTTGTGACACTGTACCAGAACCGCCCGTTTGTTCCACGCCATTTCCTCTCCAGGCACCACTGGTGCGGGGCAGAATCCAGCAGCCCATTTTTTTGCTCGTGGTAGGCTTGAACGCCCAACACTTGACCGCGTTCAAATTTCAAGAAAATATGCTCACGTTATTGCTACTCGATACTCTTTCATATGTGACTGATCAAGAAATCAGTATCGTTGCCTTTACCAAGATGAGTTACCCTCGGTTCTCATTTCGCCAGACCCGAGTTTGGCTGAGTTGTTCAAAAGAGAAGTTTACCTCGGTTATAACTGAACCTTCATGTGTTGCCAAGTCAACCAAAAAGGTACCTGAAGTTAATACGAAATTTACTAATCCACCAACGGTGCGGCGATGAGAACTCCAACAGAACAGCACCTATGTGTCAGTGAATCTTGGGGGAAGATTTCCGCAAACCCGCGGCTTCTTCAGCCAACGGTCATTCTCGACGAATGTGGCGACGATAAGCTTTCGCCAAAGAGCGTTGCCCTAACAGAGTGGGGGTGTTCCGTTTACAACGAAACAGCTTGTGATTTCGCCTAAGATTTCGTGAGCAGCGGAGTCGCTCCGCCACTCAGGGAACCGAACACGCGCTTGCGCCAAAACGAGCGCTGCGCTTGGTTTGGGCCGCAAGCAGAAAATCACCATTCCCGCTGCCGCCGCTGAACCAACCTCGGGATTGGCTGGCATGGCTCTGGGCTGGGCTGAACCGTCATCTGCTGGAGAAAGAAACCTGCAGTTGATCAGACCGATTCACCATGAAACACCACACAAACGAACCTTGAATCGCCCTTGCCAACCTGACTCAACCGCTCTTACGTCTCTCCAAACCCAACCAAAATCAAGACAGTTCAGCCCAGGAATGTTGAGGAGCCATTTCCAAAACCACAACCTTCTTTCCCAGGCTGCTCTCCACTTCCTTCCCCAAGGCATACTCCCATATTCCGTCTCACAAGGCTCTGAGTCATTCCTAAATTTCCCTAGCAGTTTGCGTTCAGCAAAAGCAGATCTTCGCGTCATTTCCAGTCGTTCACCAGTTCATGATTGAGCTCCGACGTTTGTTTTCTTCATGAATGTTTAGACATCGCCAGTTAGCTGAGTTAAATATGACCAAATAACGGCAAGCCGACAGTTATCGTCGAATTCCACCAACAGCGATTTCTCCTTTAGCATTCAGCACGGTTTCTTCCGGAGTTTTGGCGTAGCAGCAACTTCGGTGGCCAGCAGCTATTTCGATCTTGGTTTGCGAATTCCTCGATCTTCTAAATTTCGGCCGTAAGCTGAGCGATTTTGTCCGTCAGCAACAATTTCGACCATTAGCAGCGGTTCTATCCGTCAGAAACCTTTTAGCTGTCAGCCGTCAGCCGTCGTCAGAACCAACGATTTCCCCTTCAGAAAGAAGACATTCGTCGTCAGAAGAGACGATTTTAACGTTTTTGAATCGTCGAACGAGTATCGTCGTCAACAGAAGAATCTCGCCGTCCAAATGAACGATTTCGCTTTCAGAATCAACGATTTCGCCGTGTCAACCTCTTCGGTACGTTTCGAAGTTCGCGTTCAAGTTCCGTTATCCGTCTGTTTCCTTCATGATGGGTTTGCTCGTTGAACTGCCGTCGCGACTCTCTCTGAGCTTACGTGCAGGAAGCACTATCTTACCGTGATGCTGTGGTCCGCGCACAACCATGGCATTTCGCCATCCGTTTCGCCATCAACCATGGATTCGCCATTCGTTTCGCCATTCGTTTCGCCATCTCGCCATCCGCTCGCCACCAAGCATGGCGACGCCGTCTCAATGGAAAAGGTAAGCTCTCTTCTCTCACTTCAAGCTCTCGTTGATCTTTCCATTTCAGTTACTTTCCCGCACCAATCCATCTTCTCCCACCCACCATGGCTTTCATCACCCCGCTGCTTGTCACTGGCTCATCAATTTTGGGGATCGATTATATGGCACATCGCGTTTCGCGAGCTACTTGTCTGAAGAAGTTGCTTGGATACACGTCGCGTATCGCGTCTCATTTTTTGCGACTTATCTTCTCGAATCCATCTCGTGTTCAATCTCGCGTTTAGATTTCGCGACTCATCGTGGCCCATCAATCTGCGATCTTCCCTTTACAGTTCGATTCCTAGAGCTGTGTCGCTGGCACACGCGGTGGTGGCGAGCAAGGGCAGGCGAGTGGAGCCCAAGGAGCAACGGTAGGCGGACGTGGGGCAGCGAGCAAGCAGCTGAGGCAGCATTAGCATCGCCCCCGTGCCTCAACCACAACCACCTGGCGGCACGGCAGCAGAAAGCAGCCACATCGTCAGCTAAGTGCTTTCTCCTCCATGCACCACGCATGCATCCCACATCACTGCCCCTCTGCACGTTTTTAATTCCGTTCCTCCATCAAAACGCGGCCACTGGTGGCAGCACAGGGTACAGCCCACAGGCCCTCCTTACTGCAGGTAAAGCCTCCCCCAGGTGAGTCTCCTCAGGTGAACCTGTCCGGTAAAGCCTTCCCTCACTGCAGGTATTAACCAGTCCTTGGGTCTGTGGCTTGTTACTCTTGCCTCCACCAGTGGCCCCCCTTCAGCTCTCCCTCCCTCACCCCTCATGCATCCTCTTCCCCTCACTACCCTTCCATGCACATCCCTCGCCTCCTCCTCACCTTCCCCTCCCGCTCCCCCCTGCCCCTCCGCCTTCCCCTCCT